TGACATTTGTGATTTTCCTGAAGTGGACTCTCAACCCCTTCCTTCCCACAGCAACTGTAGATCCTCTCTTAGGGCAAACTAGACATCTGGCCTGTGTAGCCTTCCCACAAGCCAAGTTTCTCTAGCTGGGTAATTCTGTTCAACTGGCTGCGTGATGCATCTACAATTCATATCTCCTTCTGACTAGTCCCAAGTCTGATAAATACTCTCCCTCTAATAGGCCCATCTGGGATACAGATGTTTGATGCTGGATTCCTCAGACCCTCTCTTTCTCTCTGAGCCTTTGGGAGAGGAACTCCTTTGGGCTACATTTCTGGTTTCTTACTGGGGATGAAGAAAGAGGGAGCACTGAGTAAGGATTTGAGAAAGGAGGATTACTCATACACCAATCACTGTCCTTGCATGTTAGTGATCTATCCGCGGGTGTGTCCCCCACTTCCCAGCAACCCTCCACTAAACCATCAGCTCCTGAGTAGAGGGAGGCTGTACCTGGCACACTCTGCTCGTCAAAAAATGTCTGGCAAAGTATTTGTTGAAGTTGGATTCCTTCAGAGTCACAGAATAAAGGAATTATGAGGTTGAGCCCTGTGCTTTAATTGTAATGATGGGGATGCTATATATAAGTAATTTAGTTCAGAGACAACCACTAACTCTACCAAGTCACAGGCCCTCATAGAAATCCAGAGATCTACATCTCTGTTAATCCAAAGTTCTTTCAAACAATCCAAGCCATGGCACAGAAGAGCAGTCTACACTCCATGTTCTGCTTTTAGTGCCCAAGATTGGATTTAAACCCAGGAATTTAGATACAATGACTAAACCCCTCCACTAAACTATTAGCACTTACTCTGTGAACTCTTTATATTTGTCCCTTTGGTTAGTTTATGGGTCTGGCACATCACAAAAGCTTGATTAATAATTGTTTTTCAAAATATGGTTCTTGCCAATAAGAGTTATGAAAAATAGTCAATATTTTTAATAATAAAAATTCAGAACAAGAATATAAGGCAGAGAGGATAGAGAAAGAATTACAGTTGTAAATGTGAGATAAATATAAGGGAATTGAGGGAAAGAAAACCTATACTCTCCACTATGGTCTGCCTTCAGATTTCTTCCCCTCAAAGAGGAAATTCATAGATAAATATTCTCTTTTAAACCATAATAACTAGAGATCTAAAAGTGTCTTTCTCATTGTGAACAGGCACTAAACATTTGAGAAAACCCACCAGCATGAAAGATAGACTGGAATTAAGAGGGGAGAAAAAGTAAAATATGAGTTGATTAAAGATGAATCAGATATAATGCACAGGAAAAAAGAAATTCAGAATTCATCTCATTTTCAGCCTCAAAAAATGTCATATCCTTAAAATAAAAATAGATTAATGTAGAAAGTCAAAGAGTAAGGTCTTAAAATATATGATTGCTAAAATAAAAAAAAATCAATAGAAGAGTTGGAAGATAAACTCAAGGAAGTCTCCAAAAATTACAACAAAATAACAAAGAGACAGAACATATGAGAGAAAAAAATGAGAATAAATTCAGAGATTCATCCTCAGGAGTTTCAGAGGGGAAAAAAAGATCAGAGAATTAAGAAATATCAAAGTAATAATTTTAGAAAATTTTCCCAAGGTAAGGGGCATATATCCAAATTGAAAGGATCACTGAATATCAACAGAAGAATAAAAGGTCAACCCTTAAAAAAATTATCATAAAATCTCTAAAGTAACAAGGCTAAGATTCTAAATGATTTTTAATAGGAAAAAAATTCACCTCAAAAAAGACACAAAGTTATCAGAATAGAAACTAGAGGTAATTAATTCAAAATTCAAAAATTTAAGAGAAAATATTTTCCAACCTAAAATTTTATACCAGGAAAAATGATCAGTTTTGGGTAAATGCAAAATAAAAACATTTTGAGAAATGCTTTTCTTAAAAAGTTACCTAAAAAATCCTTTCTTAGAAAGTTACTTAAGGATGTTTTCCAGTAAAACAAGGTAGTAAATTAAGAGATACTCATGCAATTCAGGACACAGTGGCTCCAATCCAAAAAAAAAAAAAAAAAAAGCAGGGAAGAGAAGCTCCAGGAGGACTATTGTAGATCAGACATAAAGATATCCGGTCAAGTTAGAAGAGAAGAGGAAAATGGAATGAACTAGAAAGGAGCACTCAAGAAGAATGTTTAAAAAAAAAATACATTCTATCCATTAGCTGATATGATAAAGCATTTGAAAACAATTGAAGACATCAAAAAAGGAAGGAAGGAAGAAAAAAGAAGGGAGGGAGGGAATAAATAGAGACTCAAGGGGTAGGGTGTGTGTTATTGGGGGTGGGAGAGGGAGCTATGCCAGAAAGGAAACACAGTAATAAAATAAAATTTTGCTCTTCAACCAAAAAAATATTTTATAGTCATAATGTTGTAAATACACATAACTGATTCAACTAAAAATAGTAAAATAACTGTATAAGAAAGATGGAGAGGAGAGGGAGAAGACAACGTAAGAGTTAAAGTCTCATCTTCATAATAAGAGCAAGTCAATGCATAATGTTTAAAATTGATGAATCAAGTATTATAAATATAATATTTGGACATATGGAAGTTATTACCAGAAGAGGCAGATAAAATAATTAAAACAAAGCTAGAGAATGGAAGAAGGATGAGAAAGAGTTAGGTAGGAGATTGTCATTCTTCTTTTTGGTATAATTTGCTATTTTAACAAGGAGCATTTATTTCTGATTGAAATATTTTTAATTATCAAAAAAGTATAAATAGTTCCTTTTATTCCACAAAGTGAGTTTTGCTTATAGGGGTAAGAAAGTTTGAAACATGTCTGGGTCTACAGATAGAAAAGGATGTTATGATGGCAACTCCGAGGTAGTAAGGATAATAAGTTATAAACATATGGATAAGGGCAGTGGCAATGAGGATTTAGAGAGACAAGGGACCACTCTAAGAAGAATGATGCCTGGGTACCTTGAAAGACAGCTCTCTCAGTCAAGGCAGTGAGTTGCTGTAATGAGCTAGCAGACAAAAGAGAACAAGCCAGATTTCCCTTGAGAGCTCTCTGGAGATCCTGAGTTGGCAAACACTGTTGTTAGTGAGGTTTAGCTTCTGCTTAAGGTTATCAAAATCTAAAAACCAAACCCAAACAGAATCTTTCTTATGCAAATATTTCTGGTAATGTGATCAGTTCCCTGGGTATTATTATGTAAACAAAGGCTTCCCATCTGTCAGTTCTAATAATGATAATAATAACTAACGTTAGTTTAGGACTTTTTTATACTTTCGAAAACTTTAAAGTTACCAAGTACTTTCCTGTACCTTAATTTCATTTGATTCACAAAACAACCCAAGGATATAGGTAATCCAAAGTATTACCGCAATCACCCTCATTTTACAGATGAGACATCTGGGCTTCCAAAAGTGGCTTGCACAATTTACATAGCTGGTTAAGTAGCAAGGACTCCAGAATTCAACTCTGTCCCCTGATTGCAAATCTTACACTCAATCCTTGACAACACATGTCTGAGCTATAGGCAAATCCATTGGTGTTCATTGACTGCCCACGCACAGGAGCACCAAGAGGACTACCCACACACAAGAAGAGCATGAATTACTATACAAATCGTGGCCAAAAAAACACAAAGGCAGCCATCCGGGTATTGGCTGGAAGTTGAGATCTAGTCTTCCCACCTCCCAACAACATTATACCCTAAAGCAGGTGTGAGCCTTTTTATAATCTGTACAAAAGTGTTGTTATAAGTTATATGGGAGACCTTGCCCATATACAGAAATTAACAAGTTTACCATCCCCTTCTCTCCCTTCCAATACTTCTCAACCCGTTCATCAGCCATCAAATGGAAATCCTCTTACGAGCTTGTGTCTTACAATGGATGATACATCAGATCCATTTATTCATTAAAATAAACATAAAATAAACAACTATGTCTCAGCTGCTGTTCTAGGCACTGGGACAAAGACCCTGATCACACAGAGCTGATATTCCAGGCAAAGGAAAGGCAAAAGCAAATGCACAAGAAAAACATCAGAAGTGATAAGTGTTACACAGAGAATTTAGACTAGTTAACATAATAGAGATTGACAAGAGAAAACCCACCAAAGGGAAAATAAAGGAAAAGAGGATTCTAAGATGAAACAGCTAGTGCAAAGCCCTGGGGCAAGAACAGGCTTGACCTGTTCAGTGGAACAGAGCAGAGTCAGTCAGGCTGTGCCGGGGAGGTGGGGAGAATGCAGGGAGGGAGTTGGAGAAGTGGGCAGAGGTCAGGCTGCAGCAACGCCTGTGATCCAGGAGACAGGAAGGGAGCTTGAATTTTACTCTAAGTACAGTGGGAAAAAAAATTGAGAAGGGGAGTGGCATGATCTGATTTACCTTTTACATAGGATCTTTCTGGATGCTGTGTGGAGACTGGAATTTAATAGAGCAAAAGAGGAAGACTCCAGTCGCCTAAAGGGGACTTGCAGTTAGATGTCGGATGTCTTACATTCATAAAGCTGCTGAGCTGCTCAAACTGCATCAGGAATTAAGCACACTTGAGGCCTCATCATGGACTTGTGATACTCTGCTGGAAACCTAAGACTGTAAGAGGAATGCTCACGTATAATTGGTGCTGATTGGTTTCTATCAGCGTATCCCTGTTGGTTCTCTGTGAAGATGCCCTGGCTTCCTCTGATAGACCAGGAGGTTCAGCTTTCCTGTGTCTCAAGCACCTGGTGCATACGTACTTCACACTGTGTACATGGATGTCTGCTCCACAGAAAGTGAGTTTTGTAAGGGCTGTCTCTTGTCCGAGTCATCTCTGTGTCCCCAACTATCCAACACAACACGTAGTACCTCACAAAAGCTCAATAATATCTGGTGGAGTAGATGCATGTTTTATCTGGGGGCTGTGTGAACACTCTTTTGCCTCCAGAAGCCAAAAGGATAAGATGATGTTAGAAATGCACCCTACAAGTAGGACACCCCAAGCCCCAGTCCCTTACCTCCTGGGTGAGTCAGGGTCGAAGCAGGTCTTGTGCACGTCGGCCACCTCGGGGTCACAGCAGTCACCATCGTCAAAGTCGTTCAGCATGTTGTTGCACTCCACATGGCAGAGCCCGTCTCTGCGGTTCCAGGAGTAACACCGGCCCTGCAGGCGGCAGTCGCCCCCATCATAGCCCGTGAGTGGGTGCTCACACTCAGGGTCGCAGTGGTCATTGCCAATCTTGCTGGGCTCGCAGTTCACAAGCACGACGCGGTGGCGCAGGGTGGAGTTGTGGACCTGGTGGACGCTCAGCTGCCAGCTGATGTTGTAGCGGCTGAAGGCTTCATTCAGTACCTCGTGCTGCCGGCGGATCTGCTCCTCACTCACGGTGGGGTTCAGGCCCTCGTCATCACAGATGTTCACCACCTGGTAGCGTATCACCTTCTCTCCCCGAAGGGGCCAGTGCCCATTGTACTGGGAGATCAGTTCCACGTTGTCACAAGCTGTCTGCCCACAGAGTGGGGGCTGCAAAGGCGACAGAATCTCAGGCTCTGGCTCAAAGTCCTGGAGAACCTCAAGCCGTGGGTACTTCTCATCTCTAAAGGGGGCCCACTGTTCTTCCAGAGGCTCAAAACTGGCTGTCAGGATCAGGGTGCTCAAATGCTCCACCTCACTTGGCTGCTGAGGACTGTGCTGGAGGTGGCTTTGTGGAAGGGCTGTTGACCATAAGACTAGCGTGCCCAGGTGTCCACGGAAATGGTGTCCGTCCTCGGAGCTATCCCCGCCCAGGAGCAAAGAGCGACATGATGCCATGAAGGGGCTGTGCAGGGGACCAGACTGGTCTGGACTACTGGCCACCTGGGTGCCATCCACATACAGGACCATGCGCTGTCCGTTGTAAGTGGCTGCCACGTGTGTCCACTTGCCTGGTTGGTACCGACTGTGGCCCATCACAATGGTGGCTTTCGTCACACGGTCGGTGCGAAGAGAGAAGAAGAAGCGAGCATCTCGCCTTCCCACATCCTTCCCTGAGCGGATCCCCAGGGCCCAGCCCTTGTCACTGACAGTGTGGGAGCAGTTGTCAAACACACCTGGGAAAGAAGGAAGAGTCGAAGGGAGAAATACCAGATACAAAGGGGATGGAGAAAGGGAGAAGAAAACCCATATAAATAGCAAGAATGTAGGTTTTTAATGGGAAAAAATAAGTGACACAGAGTCCCCGCCTGAGATGCCTGTCCGGTCCCCCATATCAGACTGTGCTGGCAACATCTATCCTCGAAAGGAATTTGATCTGAGATTCCCTCCAAGTTCGCGCATCCTGGCATTTTTCTGGGAAGGGGATGTCTACTGCAAGTGTCCGCCATCCCCTGGTACTTTATCACAAGTGTTCCTCACGCTGACTCTGTGCCCAAGCCCCCCGCCCTTTCCACACTTCCTGAGAAGTCATGAGGGCCTTCATAGTTATCACAAAAGAGAGTAATCTCCACCCTGCTTCAAAAGGTCATTTTTCTCCACTGAATACTGAAATGACAATTCTCATGGGGAAAATAACGGGAGGACCGTAACATCCCAGACATGCCTCCCAGCCCACTATTCCCTCTAGTGCCTCTCTAAGGGCAAGGACACTCATCCACGGTGAGCACTGTTCCCCAGAGCAAGCAAAATGGCACTGCCCCATGGTCCTAGACAAAAAAAATTACCCCAAACTGGTCAAATCATATGAATGATTGTTCTATAAGCAATAACGCCCACCGCAGTACAGAAGCGAACTTTCCCAGATTCATGAAGCTCCTCCCGACATGCTACATTACCACCCTGCTCATAGCGGACCCAGGCCCATTAAGCCCTGTGGAATAAACAAAGGGAGTGCCTGTAATAACTATGTCACTAATAAGTCGGCAGGAGGAAGGAGCAGTCAGATGCAAAGGACCACAGATGAAAGAGGAATCCTGAAGGCAATCTGTTGGCCTTGAATGTTCCCAGGAACCCACCTGCCGTTACGAGCACCCCCCATCTCCTCCCAGCATCTCTTCTCATATGCAAAGTCTCAGGAGAAGACTTTACTTGTAATGTACATAGAGGCAGTGCATTTACATAGAAAATTCTCAATACATACAGCTTTAACTAACGAACGAGTGATAGAGAAGCTGGCTGGCCTTTAGCTCAGATACCTGAGGCTAACACAGAGTCACGCTTCCCCAGTCTCCCCCAGCCAGGAATTTTACATATTCCCCTAAGCTCCCACGTAATCTACTCAAACAGTACTTCTCTACAGAGGGTCTCTATTCAAAGCCATGAGTCCTCCCATTTTAATTACAGGCAAGTGTTCTAAAAGTAGCTATGTTTTCATAAATAATAGAAAATATTCTCTTCCACCTCTAGCACAAATCAATAACTTGTGACTTAAAAAATAAAACGTTCTTTTTAACAAAAACAGCACGTTCCCAATCTAGTCATTCTAACAATTAGACTTCCACGTACTGGTGATGACTACGTGTAATGCAATGGTTCCAGATTTGTTTGTTTGGTTGGTCGGCTGGTTTTACAATGAGGTCTGTATGGTGAAGGAGTCTTGTACTGGATGGATTTTCAAGAGTAGACAAAGCTAGTGAGATCAATAGTAAATGTCCTGCTTCTTAGTTTCTCCGTGGTTCACTTATTTTCGTAAGTACATTTAGCCTTAATTATGTCCATCTGCTGATCTATGAACAAATGTGCTGAAATATTTAATATCAGAACCATGGAGTTACTAACCTCTCAGCTAGTAAATAATTGCTGGCTTTTAAGAGGAAAAATTGAAGAGGAGGCTGCTTTTTATTTGTTGCATATACACAGGTGTGTACGAGTTGGGGTATAAATTATTCAGCTTGACATATAAATTACTAGATAATTAGCTTATCATTTGCCAGGCATCTAATTACAATTTTGAATACTTTAACTTATTGTCCTTACAACTTCTAGTATCAACAAAATAATTGTTTCTACTTATTTATGTCATAGGAAGGTATCAAATTAGATAGTATGCCTAAAATGTTATTTCTAATTTCTTGAGATGTTATACAGAAGATGGAATTCTCTTATTATACTAGTCTAGTTCTGATTCATATAAATTTTAATTATTATATTAGATAGGATTTATTTTAGTGCCAAAGCACTAAAATAGTCCATTTTAGTTGTGAGTTGTAGGAAGTATATAAAAGTATTCCTTTTTGAATGATTACCAAAGTAATAATTCTTTGTGCTCTAATTTAATAAGATGTCCATGCAGCATATGTGAAACCTCACTAAGTGCTTAGATAACTGCATTTTATTTTCTGTGTTATTGTTGGTCATACTTCATCTATAAGAAGGAGAAGAAGTAGTTGTGGAAGCACTGCCCTGCACTCATTCCAGAAAAAAAAAAAAGCATATTTAACAAATAGAATTTTCTAACTCAAGTACCATGGGCTGAGTATTTGTATCCTCCCAAACTTCATTTGTAGAAACCCTAATCCCCAATATGATGATATCTGGAGATAGGGTCGTTGAAGGTAATTAGGTCATGAAGGTGGAGCCCTTATGAAAGGATTGGTGTCCTTTTAAGAAGAGAGCTACCTCTCTGTCTGCACTCCACCATGTGAGGTTATGAGAATACAGACAGCCATCTGCCAATCAAAAAGAGGTTTCCCACCAGATTTGCTGGTGCCTTTATCTTAGATTTCCCAGCCTCCAGAACAGTGAGAAATAAACTTCTTTTGTTTAAGCCACCCAGTCTATGGTATATTTGTTATAGCAGCCCGAACTAAGACACCAATGTAATCAACACCAGCTGTGGATCAGAATCACAAGTGGAAGTTTCACAAATACAGATTCTTGCAAAAAACCACGTTGAGAGCTGCTGCTAGTCTTTATTTACAAAATAAATCAAGCTTCCCACTGCTGCTCGGTGGATGGAAATTGCAGAAGACAGAAGTTGGGAGTCTTAGTAGTTTCCAACCAGTGAAAAATAATTAGAAAGACTGTTATCAACAAGTTAAGTCAGACATGAAAGTGGAAATCTCATCTGAAATCCCTATAAGTCGTTTGCTTAAGAATTGCATCAGATCAAGCATTTTAGGTTTGTCTGAGGTCTCTCTGCAACCATAGTACATACTTGCTCATTAATTCAGAAAACTAATGGAATGAGAGGCAGTTAAAAGAGACAGGCGCCTGTTATGAATAAGTGCACAGATACGATGCTTTTAGAGAATACGGCTAACTGATTGTCTAGGATTGATAATTAATTGGGGCTTTTTATTATCTGTAATACAACTTATATTTAAGACTAATGAAATGGAAGTAAATACCTGCTGTTCCCACTGATGGATCTATTATTCCAAGGGAGGAAGCTGACGTTGAAGCATGGTATGCTTCCATCTCCCTGAGAATCACTGCCATCAGCCCCAACCTCTTTCATGAGATCATGACTGTGTCCTTATGAGGATTTTTCAGAACTTCTAAGGACAGAATAAATGAATGTTTCTCCCCACTGCATCTCTATAGTCTTATAGTCTGTCCTGGTAAATCCCATCTCTCCAATCTGGAGAATCTGAATAGGAAAGTATCTGATTCTCTTCTCCTTGAGACTGAATAAACTGGTCTGTTGTTAGGCTGGAATTGTAGCCTGTGCTCAGACAAACACAGATTTAGCTCCCACACTAAACCTATAACCTGGAAACTCTCTGCTTCACCCCTAGCTGGTGGGGAAAGGATCATGCTTGGCCACCTGAAGGCCCATCACCCTACTAAACCTCAAAGGGTTTGCATTTCATCTCACTGTCTTGTTTTTCTTGGAAAAAGAAATTCCAGTCATTAGTCAGTTAGTCATTTCAGCTCAGTAACATTTATTGAACATCTTATGCATGCCAGACATTCACACTCTTTTCAGCTTTGGAAGAAAGGTAGTTTTCACTCTTGAGGAGTTACAGTCTGATGGGAAAGTGAGCAATATAGGAGATAATTTTAATATAGTATCAGAACTAAGATCAAGAAATATATAGGTGAGTGAAAACAGAACCTAATCTCAAGCCACAGTTCAGAGAGAATTTCCTGGTGGGATAAGACCCAAACCTACTCTTGAAGACTGTGTAAGATCATTCCACACAGTGGGGACCAGAGACGGAGGGACAAAGATGGAAGGCACCAGAGACGAAACATGTCAAGGTAGGTCTTGTGCAACACAGTAAGGGGCTTGGACTGTATAGAGACTACCTGGAGGTTTCCTACTGCTGCCAGATGCCCCTGACAACCTAAGAGCACACAGATAAACTCTAGTACGAAATTCCCTTGGGTTGGCCTTGCCCTGCACACTAGTTCCAAATGCAGTAAAGAAAACTTTCCAAAGCTTATAGATGGACAACTGTGGCACAGGAAATACACGAACACATAAGAGTTCACCCATGCACCTGGTCAATAGAGATTTATGAAGCAATACTAGCTGTCAAGTTCAGTACTTGGCACTGGGGTTCTCTGTAGCAATCAAATGGTTATTTAACATCACGGGGAGTTCAGTATTGTGCAGAAGGTAATCCTTAAATAAATACCTACCATGAACTATGCTGACGGTTGGAAGTATAAATAGCTATGTGAGCACCAAAAGGACCTCTTTTTTTTTTAATGTGGACATAATATGGCAGAAATTCTCCCTAAAGTTACTAAATGTCAACTTTGAAACACTGGTCTATTTTGTTAATAACGTAACTCCAATCAAATCTGTCCATGAAACTGGAGTTACCTAGATTACCAGTCAGACTGCCTGAGAAGGTTAGGGAGACAAAACATTCCAAGAGATAAGTTCTGTTCACATAACTATTTATACTTCTAAGTATCAGAGCACAGGTCTTGCCAGTTCACCCTGAAACGTTTGTTGTAAAATTTCATAGAACTTGCATTTATATCAAATATCCACCTCAGCTGAATCTTCTAAACTGTGATGTGCTCTTTTGGTGAATATTTTTCCCTTCACTTCTTATCATGTAATGTTATCTCTTATTGATAAGTACTTGAGCTTTCTGAAGCAATCTTGTATGACTATCATTTACATGGTAAAGCCATCCTGTACACTAGGCAGGAT